TTGACCATTAGGGATAGGACTTAAATTATTCCAAGACACCACTATAATAAGGAAACAAACAAATAAGAGGCACACTAAAGGGTTTGTTGGTTTGTTTTAATTAGAGGTGATGCTTTGTGTCATTTTCATACTATCCAAAGGAGCCTTATTATACCTATTATTTTTTAGCGCTTTCTGAATCGACCTGATAGGTTTGTGATGGACTTTAGCCCAGAATTTCATTCAAGTCACTGCAAATCTCTAACTTTAAAACTCTGTTTTAGGAACTAAAGTGTACTGGGCTATTTTTTTCAAAGCCTAACTGATGCTTTATTTTCATTATTTCCACTAAGATGACCATGAATTCAGACTTTCTGTATGATAATTGGAAGCATTCAATTTGGCTGCCACATACACTCTTGTTCTGCAAACTCTTCCACGGCTACTACATTGCTACTTATGAAGACTGTTGTATGAGTGACTATAGCAGAGCATGCACAGACACTCCTTATATGTTTCATAACAAAGAAACTATAGTTTGCCGATGAAAGGTAGCAAATAGTATTGAAGATTGAGATTGAAACCAAAATTTAAATCCCTAGGTACCTGTGACTGAAATTCTGTAAGTTTTTGCCTACTATCAGTCTGTTAGAGCTGTCAGCTCAGAAGTATTCAACATAAGAAAACTAAAATTGAAAAATACTGCACAAAAGAGACTGGGTGTTTGGGCCATTTCTTCCTGCCTCCCTTCTGGAGGCAGGAAGAAGCCTTGCCCAAGTCTCCATTTCCAGTTGAAGCAATGAGTTGCTTTTGAGTTGTGTCTTCATTTTTTTGCCCAGGTGACAAAAATGGCAATGCAGAAATTCTACTGTACAAAGGAATAACACTTTCCAGCATCCAGAGGCACCAGTAGGCATGTCTCCCTTCCATAAGGCTGGAAGAAAAATTATTTGCCTTAGTTAGGAGCCTCTCAATAAACTTGGACTATTTTTAGAAAGATCTTAGCAAACTGACAAACCTACTACCTTACCTCTCTATTTTCTTTCTTTTTCAATCTCCTTTCCCCTCTCTTCACTCTTTTCTATTCCCCCATACACACACACACACACACACACACACACACACCCTCTAATTCATTCACATATACCCTAAGTCTATAAGTAAAGTAAACCAGAATACGAAGGAATGCAAACCTCTCCTTTCAGTTTAAAATATGTAAAAGATACCTGACATCACTAATTCTACAAAAGTCTTCTATAAACAGCAAAGGCATCCTCCACTTTGCCCCTCAAATTTGCGTACAAAACCACAAAATCCATATAACTGATTTCCCAGCCAAAATCAGAGGACAAGTAAATAATGATATACGATTGTACACAAGATTATCTCTGCAATACTGTAAATTGAGTTCCAATTCTCAACTAGTGTTCCATTCCCTTTACCTTGCCTACCTAACTTCATTCAAAGTCTTACTTCCTTTAGCTTCTAGAGGCAACAACATTCAGATGTGGGTACATTTGGACACTGAAACAAGAGCTATCTTCCATTCAGCCCTAAATTTTGAGGGTTCAATAGCAAATCTACATAAAATGTAGGACTGCCATGAAAGGAGGGAAAAGGAGTTCTTAGGAGTCTACAAAGTAACAAGTGATTAGAAACTATCTTGTATTGCTTGCCAGTGAAATCACTGTGGGTGATCTTAGCTCCCCAACTAGACTGTTGACTCTCTGAGGGCAGAAGTTACATCTTAAACTTATTTGGAATCTCCATGGTCCCTGCCACATAGCTGAGCACATAGTGGATACTCCAACAATGCTTACTGACTTAACCTAATGCCATGGTGATAAATTTCAAAGTGTGATAGAGTACAGCTAGCATGCAACAGGTCTGAGTGGACTCATGTATAATGCCTTTGAGAGTAAGCCCTGTAACTGGATCTACAGTTCATAAAGGGAATGGGTTTGACACAGGTAACCCAACAGAGGAAGTTACTATGTAGTGGCCTTTTGTCCCAACCTGGAGAGTAAGAATGTAACATGTGCTCAGGAAAAGAATGTTATTCGGAATTGAAATTACCTGTTAGTTGTATGTCTTTCCGTAAGTTCCCTAGGGTCAAGAATCAAGTGTTTTATTGCTTTTGTTCCCCAGGAAGTAGTACAGTATATGGCACATTCTAAATGTATAATAAATGCTAATGGGATAAATTAATGAACAAATGAAAGAATGGTTTAATGAAATAAAGAACAAAGTAAGTAACATAATATGATTTAATAGAGAAATTTCTATAAAATCTTATATTTACCACATCATAGCACTTACCATGCTATGCTATAATTGCTTAATAAATGTTGCTTACTTGGATGGATTAATTTATTAGTAGAATATAAAGATAATTTAGGAAATATATCAACATGTTATTATCCTAGCAATAGAGAATGTCCCATTGCACCCTATATTAGCATTTATTATTCTGTATTGCAAATCACCTATTTACTTGATTGTCTTACCCATTAGAATGTGCATTTCTTGTCTTTTTCATCTCTCTAACGACAGAGCCTAGAGCAGTGCCTTACAAAGAGTAGGCACTCAACAAATATCTGTTGAATGAACAAATCAATCATCCCTGCTCTTCTATAGATTTCACTGGTAAGTATTCCACTGAGTCCAGTGGCCTTTGGTATAAAAAAGAAAAGGAGAAGTGTCATTTTCCCTATGCAAGACATTGTGACTGATTCAGGTAAAATGGCCTGGTCTGTATTCAGCAGTAAGTGGCCCTCTCTCCTTTCTGAATGTGTTTGCCAGTTGAACTCTCCAGGCAGGACTGCATATTAGAAATACACACAACCTCACACAACACACTCTCTTGGCCCTGACCCGCTGTACACACCAAAACTGTGTAATTTTGTTAACCAAGGAAAAGCATCTGGCTTTGTGAGTCAGAGACAGGATCAAAACTGAGACATTAAATGGCTTTTCTACATAATCAAAGCAAGATTTTGTTTCATTCTGCCCACGGAAGAATTCCAGAAAGGATACTAAGTCTTAGGTAAACCAAGTAGATATAGTCATATATTTTCTGTCCTTTCCATCTATTTCATAGACACCAGAACTCACATTTCTCTAATGTCTTGAATTGAATGCCTAAGTGATCACCAAGTCCCCAGGATTCAACCCTTTTGTCCATCTCCAAAAGTAACAGCACTGCTACTTATAAACAACTTGGCATCTTTCACCTCTATCGTTAAAATGATCAATATGAATAGTATGGCCATAACACTTTGTAGGACTTATCTATATAGAAGCAGCCTAAATTCCTCTTTGGTTACAAGTGCCTAGGGAGACACACTCAGTTGTGCAAGCCATTGTAACAGTGATTCTCCAATTGTCTAGTGAAGAGGTCTATTATTTTAGGAACACCAATGAGTTGGACCTTCGATATTACATGAGCCATATACCTTGGAACAACTTTGCATGACAGGTGTTCCCATTTTGTAGTTAAAGAAACAGAGTCTTAAGTTCCACAGCAAGCAGTGATCCCTAGATTCAAAATGATGATCAATCTGATTCCACTACATAGCACTACCTTTCACTTTCTGTTACTGAACTATTGGTGATCCACAAGTACTCTTCCAAGTAGTCTACAGTTAAGACTTAGTAGTATTCACTAACATTAATAATTATAACTGCATTTACCTAGCACAATACTGGACTTTCAATAAATCCTTATTTATAGAGTTATAAATTGAAAATATTGATGCTTTTGTTGTTGGCAGAATACCATGAGTTACTCATCAAAAGCACTGTTGTTTGGCCCCATTAATTCTGATGGGAATTATTGTTCAGGAACTAGAAGAAGTAATCAATGTAAGCAGTCCTAAGACCCCTTGTGCTACAAAATTGACAGAAATACAATGAGGCCATTTTATGTATGCATCACAGCCTGGGTATGTCAGGCTGAATTATTTTTAAGGCAGGAAGGTGTCACTGAAACCATACTTGCCAGGGAGTATAGAGTCCTTCAGTATGGTCCTCCCTCCCTTGATGAACAGCTTTGTAAGACTGAGTAAGTCCCTTAGCATCTCTGGACCTCTGTTTCATCATCTACTGAAGGGCAACCTATCAAGATACCTGATTGTGAGGATCAAACAAAACAATGTTTGGGAAAGTGCTCTGAAAGATGTGAAAGTGCTCTCCAAGTGTGCAGTATTCTTTTCACTGGCAGCTTGGAAGAGGACATATGCCTTTGAGTACATCACATTTCCAACCAAAGAGGGACTTAAGCAATTCATGGAAAAACAGAATCAACTTAAGAAATATTATTTATAGCCTTCCACCCAACCACCCACCAGCCATCATCCACATACCACTCTACTGCCCTAAAATATTTCAATAGCCAGCAAACATCTGACCACATAACATTAAATGTTTAAAAAAATATTTCTACTTAAAAACATTCATTCCCAGTGAAGAGAAACAGAGCTAACTCAAATGCACAGATAATTCTTACTCTTATTTTTTGTTATATTGCGCAGGCTGGCAAGCTGGTCTGGAATTCTGGGATCAAGGAATTCTCCTGCCTCGACCTCCCAAAATACTGGGATTATGAGCCACTGCAACCAGCCAGCTAATTCTTAAATTTTCAGCAATAATGACCGTTTCAATCTCTTCAACCATCAAATGTTGCCACTAGAACTGCTAACAAATAGCAAAGTGGCTTTTTAATTTTTGCTTTGCCTCCCTTTAACCAGCCCATCCATATTCTCACCAAGATGCTAGAGAACAGTTATGTGACAAAAGAAAAAGCAAATGGGGGCTTTAGGAGGCTGAATCACTCTCACACTGGAAAATTGGTCCCAGGGCATTAGAGGGTTTCATCCATTTTCAGCACTACTTGATGACTCTTTCTAAGCCACTTTACTGGCATACTAGTACAGCTGGTTGTCAAGCATGCTATATTTGCAACAGGTGGAGCAAACAAGGAGGTCTGGGAGAACCTCATAGAGCCACTTAGTTGCACTCACCTCAGGCAGAGGCACACCGTTGATAATCAGGTCAGGCTGCTGGGGCCCCTGGCTGTTGAAAGAGTGATGGTAGATGTGGTTAGCACGGGTATTCTGGTTCTCCACATTCATGAAAGTGCTCTCAGAGCGGCGGCAGCCCAGGGGCAGTGTCTGCTGGTGGTAGTCAAAATAGTTGAGGGACGAGGTCAGGGAAGAGCAACTGACAACGTTCATCTTGTCTGTCTCCTCCACATCCCGGGGTACCAGACGGATGTCATTCTTACTGATTTTTTTCTTCTTGCTTGATTTCTTTTGATGCCCATAGGAGTACTCAGCGATTCTATGTGACAGAAAAGGCAGCATGAATCGCTAACACCTTTCCAAACCATGCACTGATTAATAAACATTAAGCACCCCAGAGGGTTGCACCCCATCTCTGCTCCAGCTCCTTATTCTGGCGCATTACATCATCGGGTTTCTCCCTGTGCTTTTTACATGGGAAAACAAGCTGAGGGCCATAAACTTTTTGTATTAAATGTAGTAACCTCCCACCAACCCCCCTAAAAAAGTTTCTATGCTTTGGATTTGGAATTTTTCATTGTGAGTGGCCTGGGAGCATGGGTGGGGGACAGGAAAAGTTGAGCCTATGGGAGAGAAAGCATGAAAATGCTCAAATCTGGAGCCTCCCTGGAACAGAAAGGAACTCCTAGGTGAAATACAAAGCAACTCACCAAAGAGAAGATAGAGGAAAATAAAAAATACTCCCGCTTCACCAGTTCCTCCAGGCATTTGCTATGTGGCACATGCCCTCAATCAGCTCCCTCTATGACACACTTGATCAGTTTTGGACTGGGGTAGGAGATCGGACCCCATTCTTTCACATCTCCTCCACACCCTCCTCCCTGCCCTAGCCCGGCTTCCTTTTACTCTCCCACCCCCCTCCTCTCCTAGAAAAAACTAATAGCCAAGCCCATTTAAATGAGGGGAAATGCCTTTTTACCTCTTTCCCCTTAGGCTCACTTTCTCCTCTGTCTTTTTGTCTTGCTCCTCGCTAATGGGAGAAACCGAGATGCAATGCAGACACTTGCTGTTTTGTCCTTTTATAAAACAGCCGAGGAGACAAGTGATGGTTAAACAATTACTGCAAAGGAATTTAAAGGTTAGTGCATTCAGCATCCTTCTCCATTCAGGTGTACCTACAAGCAGCTGTGCTGCAACTGGAACATAAAGAGCTCAATTTAATTAACACTGACACAGACCCAGCCACGTGCACCAAAGACACCAAGCATTAAGAGACTTGTCAAAAAAAAATACATTTAAATGTAGCCAGATTCTCAAGGTGATTTATTACTTTGCACATAATAATTCAGCTAAATTTTAGGAAATTTTATTTCTGGGCAATAATCAGCAGAACAATAGGGTTAATAAATAACACAGGTTGATCTTTACTAGGGAAAATACTGTGCCTTATTCTCACTCGACAAAGCTAATAGTCTGAATACAAAAAGGGAGCCCAATTCAAGCAGCAATTGCAGATCATCTCGCAAGTCTCATAAATGAATGCATTTCATGAAGAGGTTGTGCAGAGGCTGAGAAAAAGAAACCTCTGCCTAATCACATGAAAAGACACGCTCCTGAACTTTGGGTTTCTAAAAAGTCTGAGCAGATAGGGAGACTGCACATCTACAGAGGCAAATTCTTGCTCTGTCCCCAGGACCTACCTAGAGCTAAGCAATTGGGTTCCCCTCAGCCCTTCACTCTGCTGGGGGAGATTTGCAGTGGTGGGAAGCTGGTACTATTGGGGTTTGGGAGCAGATAAAATCCTCAGAACCCCAGGACTAAGGTTGATTTTCTATTGTAATCTGTTTACAGAATCAATGGGAAATTTTAATCATTTTGTTTACCCATGATGGGTAAGTTTGGCAATGCCTCATCAAATAATTCAGCTGAAGCATTCATTGTGCAGCCCTTTCTGTATTGACCAATTATTTAATTATACTGTACTTCATTAATCCCAAACCATCACAGGAAACAGAGCACTTCACAAAATACACATTTGGGTGGAGTTGGAGAGCACTGAGATTTTACTCTTTTCTTTCAATATTCAAATGCTCTCCTCCTGTTTAATCACCTCCTTGGCAACTTCTCAGAAAGGGCTCTCACTTTTAGGCATACATCACCAAGAAGTGGCAAAGTCTTCAATATCTTTATTTCAAGCTGGGTTTTTTTTTTTTTTTCATCAAGGAAAGGATCTTATGCGTTTACTTTATGCTGAGAAAATGGCTTAAAAAGAGCCCCCTCCATAATTATCTCCATATAAATAAAATTTTATTGACTCCACATTTTTCTCCTATAAAAATCTCCACTAGCAGTTCACAGGTTTGAAAGGTAAGAGCAATATTAATTTACATTTCTCCCATCTGAAATGACTTGGTGCTGAAGGAAAGAAAAGTCATGGCCATTTCACTAGTAACAGGATTAAAGCATTTATGAGGCATTGCAGCTGCTCTTTTATGGCACCTGATTGATATTCATGTGTGGTTAGCATTTGTCTACTAACTTGTGTAACGCAGAGAATAGTAAAAGGGAAACAATAATTGCATGGCTGTTACATATTCAGGGGGCTTTGATTCACAGAAGTGTGCATTTCAGAAGGTGTCAAATACAAACTGAACCTACAGGAACATATTTTGACTGATTAACATGCAAGCACAAATGGCACAAAAGCACACTGATGTGTAGGTGTGTTGAAAGCAGACACACACCTTGGTTATAAATAACAGCATCATTCATTTTCAGCAAACTAAAGAAACAACTTTTTCAACTGTTTCGATAAGACACTGCTGGAAAAAAAAATGACATGTATCATCCTAAATTGGATTTTAGGATTCTAGGAATGCTTAGACTTCTGTGCTCTATCCAAATGTAAGAAAGGGCTTCAGCGAGACCTTCTAATGTGTTTATCAGGAAGTCTTTTTTTAAAAAAAAAAAATACTATGTTTCCACATTTCTTTTCTCCCTTCTCCTCCCCCTTCTCTCCCTCCCTCCCTCCCTCCCCCCCTTTCTGTCTCTCTCTCTCTCTCTCTCTCTCTCTCTCTCTCTCTCTCACTCACACACACACACACACACAGAGAGAGAGAGAGAGAGAGAGAGAGAGAGATCCTGCACACACTTCAAGAGAAACTGTAACACAATAGCCCATAGTGACATCCACTGGTAGCAACCAGATCTTAATGCCACAACACAGTCTCCCGTTAGAGGAAAGCATCAACTCTAGAATATTGCTATTTTTACTGAAACATCTGGATGCGAAGTCTTGCTCTTCATTGGGATGTTTGGTCTCCACACTACCAACCAACCAGATATTTGAAAACATACAGATGCCTGATAGAATTTCACTTTATATAGCCAGATGTTTGGGGACTAGATAAAACTCATGCCAAGAATAAACTAAAAACCACTAATCACCTGCATCTCCACACACTCCCGTTCTCTCCTCCCCCTAATCTCCCTTTCCCATCTGACACTCCCACTCCAAGTCTCTCTCCAGAGTTCATCACTGCAACAAGACAGGGTAGCTGCCAACACTCCCTCTTTTTTCAGTACCTGTCTCAAAAACACTGTGCCCTGGACACCAAGTTAAGGTGGTTTTCCTGAAAATATGAACAATCCTCTCTCTCTCTCTCTCCCCCCCCCCCCCGTTTTTCCTGCCATAACTTCAAACCTTCATGGAGACAGCTGTGAAAACTTTAAAATGATAATTGCTCATCATTAGGTGACAGAATCCATTCAAACACTAAATGATTGTCTTCCAGCAAATTGTCAGATCAAAAGAATTGATCAACTTGGACTGTCACAAACTTTTCGCCCTACAGAAAGAAGCACTGCAAGTATGCTGCATGCATTTAAGTAGGAAACAGAAGCACCGGGATTTTCACACAGAGACACAGATAAGCACACCTTATTCAATCCAAGACAAAGAAAGAAAATTTGGCTTTACCTGCAGTTGTAGGTCCGGATCTCTTTGTTGTCTCGCTTGCACTTGATTGCCACGAAGATCATAGTTACAAAGAGGATGCCCGCAATGGAGCCCAGGGCAATAATGAAAATCAAGGACAAGTTCACAGAGCCCATTGACTCTTGGGCATCGAGAGCAGGGGACAAGTAGATTAGGACAAGAGCAGAGGCAGAGAGAGATGTCTTGCCGTGGTCGTGGGCCACCACGATAAGCTCATAGGAGGACTTGGAGCTATCCCCAAAGGTGCGGGTGGTTCTGACTTCGCCATTGATCTGGTCTATTTCAAAGAAGCCGCGGTCGCCCTCGGTCATGTCGTAGGTGACTCGGCCATTTTCGCCCTCATCGTAGTCGTCTGCCTTGACAACAGTCACCAGGTAGCCTATGCCAGAGTTGCGGGGTATGTAGACCTCGGCAGTGCCGTTAATCAGAGGTGGGGCTGTGATGACCGGGGTGTTGTCGTTGACGTCGAGGATGATGACCCGCACCGTCGCGTTGCTTTGCAGTGAGGGGAGGCCGCCGTCCTTGGCCAGCACCTTGAATTCAAACGCCTTGGTCTGCTCGTGGTTAAAGGATCGCAGCGCGTAGATGTCGCCTGAGTTGGGGTTGATGGAGACATAGGTGAAGACAGGCATGTCCCGCACCTGCGACGGCACGATCTGGTAGGAGACACTGCCGTTGAGACCCAGGTCGGGGTCGCGAGCAGACACAGAGAGCAGATAGGCGCCAGGTGTGTTGTTCTCCTGCACAATGACCTGGTAGTAGGGCTTAGAAAAGTGCGGGTGGTTGTCATTTTCATCAGTGATGAGCACGGTAAAGGACTTGGCACTCTGCAGCATGGGCACGCCGCCGTCGCGTGCCTGAATTGTGAGGTTGTATTGGTCGTGCTGCTCGCGGTCCAGCCGTCCGTCCACTAGAATAGTGGAGAAGCTCTCATATTCCTGCAGTCGAAAGGGCACATTGCCCAGCAAACGGCACTGTACACGTCCATTGAGGCCCGAGTCGCGATCAGACACCCGCACCAAGGCGATCACGTAGCCCGGGGGGGCGCTCTCGCTGACCTCCACAAGCTCGCTGTTGACTGACAGCAGGTTGATGACCGGTGGATTGTCATTGGTGTCCAGCACGCTGACAGTGACCTTGCAGTGAGCCGGGATGGAATTGGGCCCTAAGTCCTTGGCCTGCACGTCCAGTTCATACACGTGGCCCTCTTCATAGTCTAAAGCGCCAGTGACAGTGACCAGGCCACTGTGCGGGTCAATCTGAAAGAGCTCGCGCGTGCGGTCGTTGACGTAGCCATAGAAGGAATAGACCACCTGGCCGTTGGTGCCCTCGTCTGGATCGCTGGCGTTGAGGCGGATGACGGGTGTGTTGGGAGGGGAGTTTTCTGGCACGCTCACCGTGTAGGTGGACTCGCCAAACACCGGGTTGTTGTCATTGGAGTCGGTCACCTTGATGTTGAGGCCAACGGTGCCCAGGCGTGGCGGGTCGCCACCGTCTAGCGCAGTGATGCGAAAGCTGTAGTGCGACTGCGTCTCGCGGTCCAGGCTCTTTTCCACTACCAGTTCGGCAAAGCGCGAGCCGTCGCCACGCGTCTTGATCTCCAGGCCGAACATCTCATTGGGAGTGAGCTCGTAAGTCTGCACGCCAAAGCTTCCAGAGTCCGGATCATAGGCGCTGTCCAGCGGGATGCGTGTCCCAGGGCTGGCTGCCTCCGAGATCTCCAGCTCGATCTGTGCTGCCGGGAAACTGGGCGCATTGTCGTTCAGGTCCTTGATCTCTACCTTAATCACGCAGATTTCCATTGAGCTGGACATGACCTCGAGTGAGATGATGCACTTAGGGCTCTGGCGGCACAGCAGGTCACGGTCAATCTTCTGCTTGGTGACCAGGAGGCCAGAGCTGGGGTTGATGTCCACTAGGTGTGGAGCCGAGTTGGACACCACGCGAAAGGCTGAGGCCTGCCGGGGGTCCAGCGCGAAGCCCGCATCCCGCGCGTCCTTGGCCACGTTGGCAATCACCGTCCCGGCACGCTGCTCCTCTTCCACCGAGTACTTGAGGTTAATGAGGGCGGCTGCCTGCGTCCACAGTACGGCCAGCAGCAGCAGCACCGGCAGCAGGAGCGACTCCATGGCTGCGCGGGGCTCTGCCTGGCCTCGCCTCTCCACACCCCTCCGAGGCCGACGCCGTCGGCGCTCCAGCTTCCCGCCGGCTCGGGCCGCCTGTTGCGCGCGCCCCGTGGCCCCGGAGGCCGCGGGAGGAGTCCCGCCCAGGGCGGCCCGGCGGCGCGCGGGGGAAACCCGTGGCGGCTCCAATGCTGAGGTTGCAGCGGACGCGGCGGGGGCTCGCGGGGGCCCCGGGGGCTCCGTGGGGCCAAGGGAGCGCCGCGCGGCCCCGAGCCCCCTCCCTCCAGCCCGGCTACTCAGTTTTCCCCCTTCAAAGTTAGCAGGGCGCAATTGGCTGCAGCCGCGCAGGGCTGCGGGTCGGGCGGCGTCTACGATGCCTGGACGATGCGCCACTGAGTCCGGACAGTACTTGAGGCGAAGGCAGAGAGGGCGGAGGAGGCGCAGCCTTTCAGGCACTGCCCCGCACGCCGCTGCGCACCGGCACTGAGGCTGGCGAACTCGCTGTCTGTGCACCTGGCATGCGCAAAGACCTCCCCCCAGCGCTCCCGGTTCACTGCGGAGAGAGTACCCGCCTGGAAGGCGCCCTCTGGGATCTGGGGGTGCCACACTGGCCCCTTCGAGGCCTGTTTGGGAGAAAGGGGGTGTCACAGGCTGGAGTCAGTTACTGGCAAGCTCCGCGGGCACCCGGGTATAGGGCTGAGCGGGATGGCGGTCCCGGGGCCAGCAGAGAAAGGGGGAGGGGAGAGATACTGCCAGGGCTTAAGCGCGCTCTCTCGAGCTATGGCTGGCTCTGGAGGGCTTGGGGGCGCGTCTGTCCGGGATACGAGGTGGGAGTGGAGTTCCCCCCACAGAGCAGTTAAAGGGCTGCGGGCGTTTGCATCTCGGAAATCAAAGTTAACAACGCAGCCCGACCCTACACATCAAGTTTGTGGAAACGGGGAGATGGCAATTTGTCCAAGAAAATCAAAGCCCCGCTCCTTCCAGTGGCCCGGAGTGGCGGGGAATGGGGAAGAGGGAAGGAAGGGGAGGCAACAACAGTACCGGCCAGGAGAGGCGGGGCCGCCGCTGTGGGTACCGGGTGCTTCTCTGCTCTCCGTTTGGGCTGGGGTGTCGCTCCAAGGACCGCCGCCGCCACCGCCGCCGCCGCGGGAGGAAGCCCTCCTAGCTCAGTTGCATGTCGTTGGGGTCCGCCTCAACAGCTGCCACAATCGACGATTTTGTCGCTGCCAAAGTTTACTTGCTAGAGCGTCTTGATTTCATCTTCCCGAAGAGGCGCTGGCCGCGCTGCGTTGGGCTCTCTCCCTTCCGGGCGCTGGCGCACTCGGGAGGTCTGTCTCGCTTTCTCTTGTCTGTCTCGGACTGTGTGTGAATGTGTGAGAGAGAGAAAGAGTGTGTGGTGTGGGGAGTGTGAGTGTCGAGTATGAGCAAGCAGGAGGCAATGGGTATGGGGTAGGAGGTTTAGGATTTCGGATGAATCCTCTCAGCCGGAATGCAGCGGAGCGCAACGCGCCCAGGGCCAGCGCCCGGCTAGGGATGCGGGTGCCAGTGCCTCCCGGGCAAGCCGGGCATGGTGCACAGGAGCGGTGCTGCCGTCTGTGCCCGCTCGTCCGTCGCCCCGCTGCGCCAGCCGCCGACGCTACTGCTGCTGCAGCTCCTCCCGATGCCGCAAACTACTGGCCGCGGAGTCTGGAGAAAGCCAGAGAGAGCCCGAGCTGCCGAGCCCGGCTACGCCAGGCGCTGGCCAATCAGCGCGCCGCCCAGCGGGCTCCAGTCTTGGGGCGGGGCCAAGGGGCGGGGGGGGGGTGGCGGGGGGTGGAGCCAAGCGGAAACTTACACACCGGCGGGACCCAGTGGTACCCTGGCCGGTGGATCCCTGGTGGGATTCTAGGGAGGACGGACGGGCAGGCCAGGCCGGAGCAATAGGGCAGTAATGAGCAGGGAGGCGGTGTGCTAGCGCTGCGGCTGAGCCTCACCGGGAACTGTGCGCCTCTCATGTTTGCAGAGATTTCAGGAAAAATGAGGATGATATGATTCTCTTGCCATGTTTAGCTCCCTTACATATCTTCATATCTTGAATTTTATATATATATATATTCTCAGATATATATCCCTCTCTTTCTCCTTGTCGCTTCACCCTAAAAATTTGTTTTGGTTATCTTCTCATTCTCCGGTAGTGGAAGGAAGAACGGGAAGGAGAAAGCGCCCCTGAGGTGATCATTCATCCAGCTCTTGGCCGGTGCGTCTTCACTTCAGGCTAGAGCCACGGCCGCCATCCCCCCCCCCACCCCGTCCCGGACCGTCACCCCCATCCTTCCACCCTGGGCAGACGCCGCACTACTCTCTGCCCGCCGCACTTCCAGCAGGGCCTCTGGTTCGGTTCGCTCTTGTCTGTTGCTTGTTGATCAAATGGGATATGTGGCCCGAGGAGGGGGCTGAACACATTTAATTGCCCCTCACCCCACCCTGTTGCCCCTCACCCTACCCTGTTGGAGAATTTAGCTCCCTATAAATAAACTACGTTTGAGAAGAGCCGGCGGAGCGGGCGCCGCTGCGCCGCTCCGCGCCAAGCCAGCAGAGCTTCAAGCCGGGCAGGAGCTGTGGGGCGGGCGCGTCATACGTGTCCGCTTAGGTCGCCGACAGCTGGGAGCCGGCGCCGGTGTGCGGGGCGCCCCAGCCTTCCCGCGGGGTCTGGGTCCCTGAGGGCCGTCAGCTTCACTTCGGCGGTGGTAGTGGATGCTGCATGTGCCAATACTGGGAAGCGGGAGGCCGACGTGGCCAGGGCTGACATCAAGCTCATCCTGCCTTCTGGACTGAAGGCTCCCTGGGGGCAGAGGGGCATTCCTCCCCAACCAGGCTCTGAGGCTTTTAATTAACGTAGCCAGCGGTAAAGACTCAAAAACACCGCCGTTAAACAAGTTTCTTTTTTTTTTTTCTTCTCGTAGAAGGTGGGGAAGCTGCTTCTGAATTCACAATTCTTGGAAGACTAAAAATGTCTTCTGAGTGAGTCGTCTCGGATATTTGGGAGTCGGATAAGCAAACTCATAATTAGCCCAGCGACATTGGCTCGAGCCTGTGGGCTTAACAATAGAGTCACTTTTGCCCTTTAAAAAACGTTAAACAAGAAAAGGAAACCGGCATTTGGACACATAATGGGTTTTCTCAAAACTGCCATCTTCTTGCGGAGAGAACCCAGCTGCTTTTTAAAATATTTTTCCTTCCAAGAGGAGCTACTTTAGCAGCCTTTACCTTGGCGGTGGGAGAGGGAAAAGGCAGGTGCCTCCTACAGAAAGGAATTATTTCGCGAGTGAGGGTGCGATCCCCTGAATGTGCAGCCGAGGCCAAAGGGAGAGCGAAGGGAGCCTGATCCGCTTTCCGCGTGGGGGTCGTTTGACTGTTTCATGTTAGGATGTGATTCGGCCCAGAACAGCAGGGAGAAACCCGATGCTTCTGCAATGAGTATCATTTAATTTTGGTCATTTAGAGCTGCGGGTGGACATCACAGTAGTGGCTCAAGGGAGCCCGGTGGCCCGCCCGGTTTTCTCCAGACACCCGTTGGAGAAATGGGCAAGTAGTAGAGAATGACAACATGGCAGGCAGCGGTGGGTGCACCTCGCGGGCTCCGAGAAAGGAAGGGTTTTATTTGATTTATCACAATTATTTACCTTTGATGTCAGAGTGTGGGAATGAAGTGCATCTTGGTCTAATTAAAAAGGCCTAAAAAGGTTTACTATCTGATCACGGGATGTGAACTCGGTGTTTGGCAGCTTTCTAAAATATTGCTTGGACTATTTAAACAGAACAATTAGCAGCATACTAAAATGTTTGCATGCTATGCTTAGAGGCTTTTAGCTGTAAACTTTAAGGCGATCCGTTCCCCCTTTAAGTTAAAAAAGGATGATGCTGCTTCCTTGTGGCGAAGGCTGTCAGGAACCCACTGATCAATAAAAGTAAACTGGCGCCTCCACGGCTTGATTGAGCGGGAGCAAAGAGTCTGAGAAGTAGTCTCGGCCATTAACAATCCCCCAGGTAACAAGAAATGGAAGAATTATTCAGGTAAAATGATTAACATTGTCGTAGCATCTGAAAAGATGCACACAAGATAAGACTGCAGACCTCTTACCTTAGGGAGTGCTAATAGAATGTCTATATTCTGCTGTCTTTTAAAGATAAATAGGAGAATTCAATTCATGTACAAAGTCATTACCTTCGTAATTGCAATCACATTGTAAAGACATGTTCTGCATTTGCAAAGACAAACGCTCTTTGCTAAGGCGATGCCACCATGTTCCCTGCTCCCTCCTCGCTATTCACACTCCAGGCACCCCTCTTTTCCAAGGAGAGCACCCAAGTACTTCCAGCTACCAAACCACTTTTACACAAGCCAGGTGCGGAGGGAGGCAGGGATGTGTGCCTATGCTTTCCTTCTTTCCTATTATCTCCTCCCCACTCTTAAGCTCAAAGTGACAGTTACACAGCATTCCCCACCCCCACACACAAAATAGCTCTTCCATCCCCCAGTCTATTTCTACAGATAATCCTAAAAACAGCCTTTGCCCTCAGAATTCCTTTTTTCCTAATAGACACACTTGATCATTACACTCCAACAATGCCGTTGACTAAATGAGTAGTCCAAAACGCTTTCATGATCAGGAATTTATTAACTAACTGAATAAAATCGTTCTGCATGTAGATAATAAAAACAAGAAAGTTCTCTCGGTTTAGCTTCCCTTTACTTCAATCCTGAAGGGAGCCCCGCCTCCTCAGTCTCTTTAGAGACACAAGAGGGACATCTAGTGACCGTCCTCGGTATTTTTTATCCAACTGCTACTGAGAAACACTATGGTGCTGTGCTGCCCATGGCAGCTCTCTAGGCCAAAACAGCTCCTTGGGCCACTGAGGCCAGAATCAAAATTGGTAGAGATTTTTTTTGTCTTTAAAATTTCACCCACGCCACTAAAATCGTGATGAATGGCAATAAAAGAAGACCAAAATGGAAGAAATCTTACTTTCAAATCAAACCAGTATGTGAGCCAATTCTTGCTGTCCAAGATTGATAAGGGTGGGGTGAAAGGTTTTGTCCTGAAAGGTAAATTAATGGTAAGAACCAAGATACCAGTATACAAGGGACTGTAACTGGGACAGGTTTAAGGAGCTTTCTGAGATGTGTTTGTTTTATTTTGTTGTTTTAGAGACAATGTGTCATTCTGTCACCCAGACGGGAGTGCAATGGTGCAGACATGGGTCACTGTATCCTCAAACTCCAGGGCTCAAGCAATCCTATCACCTCAGCCTCCTGAGTAGGGGTCTCTGTTGTCCAAGCTGGTCTTGAACTCCTGGTGTCAAGCAATCCTTCTCCCTTGGCCACCCAAAGTGCTGAGATTACAGGTATAAGCTACTGTGCCCTAGTCTGAGATGTGTGTGTGTGTGTGTGTGTGTTTTAATGTTTGCTTTAAGCTCAAAAGAGATTAGCCTTCAAATAACTCCAGCCTCTCTTTCTCTCCTCCTCCCCCTCCTCCCTCTTGCCCCTTTTCTTTGCCCTGGCTGCAGAAAAGTGGGTCATCTTCTAGTTTGGCTTTCTTTGCATATCATAGGGATACCATTCCACCCAACTAGTTTGACCAGCTGCCTGAAGAGGTTCTCTTATAAAGAAAAGCTTAATTTTAAAATTAGTAAATTCAATCGAACTTCTTCTGACTGCATATCTGATCTCCTTACTTAGGTTACAATGCCTAGAGAAGAGAACATCAAAGAATGAAAATGGAGGAAATAGCAAAAAACTATAAAGTGTCATTATTAAAGTCATCATCTTATTTAATTTTTACAATATCCCTGGGAGGTAAAGACACTTTGCAGATGTGGAAACAGACTTGTAGAGCAGTTCAACAATTTTCCAATATGACCTCATTACACAAAACTCAACCACTTCCCTTGAGAAATCAACAAGTGCTGGCTTTGTGTCCACCATTGTGTTAAGGATTGAGAATTTTTTTTAAATAGACCTTGCCCTTGTGTAGTTTAACATTCAGTTGATTAATTTAAAACAGCATCAATTTCTATGTACTATAAATTTTCCTAGAGGAGAAACTAGGACGAGGTATGTCATGTTGACAGCTTCCTAAAATTCTGTTCTCTTCTGCCCACAATTTCTAGTTAGTCATTCCCTCCCCTCTCACCTCCCCACCCACT